TGTAAGTTTCGAAACGACGTAAATCAAATTTGTCAAGTTTTAAACTAATATTGAATGTCTTTGGAGTTATAGCGTATCCTGTACAGATTGTTCGTCAACAACAGTTTAATACAGTTCGCCTATCAGTTTCTGTTTTGCGAAACACGATAACTTGCGAGAATTCTTGATGCGGAATAGATTTGATACGTGAACAAACTATCTTGATCGCTTGGTTATACAATAAATAGTTAGAAGAATGGAAGCTCGAACTTGTCATAAAGTTTGTCATTCTATATATCATGAGTTTATAATTAATACCTGATAATTCATATCGTGGCAGAGGATCGTTGTCATTTTCGTTCACGTCGTAACTAATGTCAGGATCCTAGTTCAACAAATTCGTAATGAGATTAATTAATAAATCATTAGATAGCAGTGTTTGATAGAATAGTGAAATAGGATATTTTCAACCTTTGTAGACTATCACAGATGAAATTTCTTTCGGTATTAAATTTTATCTTATCGTTTGATTTATTGCTTTGACGCTACGATATTTAATATAACATCGTCTAAATTTATTATATTACACTGAAGTGAAATTTCACTTCTTACGAAGTTTATTTTAATATTCCCGACCTAGAATAATATTATTGCAATGCTATTTATATCCACTGAAATCAATAATTTTTCTACTTTGGACAGCAATAAAATATTCATCGCTTCTGTTGTTATCGACTTCTAAGCTAGGAAGATGTACTGTGGTGAGATTTTACACACGATAAAATTAACTTATGTTCCTTTTGACGATGGCTTTCAAGGGTTAAAGAATTCGAGGGTGTAATTCTAAAAGGCCACTCCTGTCATCTGCGAACTAAAACGCGTAACTGATGGCAAAATTGAGCCAATATATTCTTGATAATATTATTTAATGAGCTAAAAATCTTTAGTTAGACGGAAAAGAATAGAAAATTCCTAAGAAATATCAGGGTACAATTTTAAGTGACCAAAGCACGCACTTACGTAATTATTTCGCAAATCATCGTGGATATATTCCAACCCATCGTCCAGAACGGCGACTCTCACGCCTCGACCAGTAACCCCCAGTCGATAGAGAGGTAGTACATTCAGATCCAGCTTGGGTAGTGCTTTGTTCGACCTCGTGTCTTGCTGCAACAGTTGATAAGGAATCCCTATCTTATCGTCAGCTAACAAAATCATCACACCAAACGTTTTACCAACAATTCCTCTATTGATCTCGCTTCATATTGATTTCCTTCTATTCTACCTTTTACTATCTTTTTGTTTATATATATATATATAT